AAATAACGTTGTAACAAAACTCTAAAGAACTTTTTGTCCATAAATTTACAGAAATCAATGCTTTCGTAGTTTTGCTTTTCAATGTTATTTTTATGTTTGTCAAAAGTGCTGATAGAGAAAATAAGCGCTCCACAAGAGTTGACAAAGTTAGTATGCCTAATACATGGTTAGCCATTATTGATAAATTGGGATGTACTTGTTGACAACTTGACAACTCTTCTACTAGTTCAAAATATCAGTATTAGTTTGTCCTTGTAGTTTGATAATAATAATATGGTTCTGCCTATATCAATTTAAGTGTAATTTTTTAAAAATTTAATGAGAGCGTTACGGTATGCGATTATGAAACCCTAACTCGGAATTTTTTAACGAAATTACGTCTGCCACATCTACATAATTGATGAAACTATATGAATTTTTTCTTCGAAATCTATAGACGCGATTTTGTTCATGTTTAATGAATAAATTCACGCAGTGCTTCTTTACAACATATATTTTTTTGAAATATTTTTATCACTAAGTGAATTTCGCCCCTATTCCTTTAATACAATTAAATTAACTGTAATAGAGATGATGGATATTTTTGAACACGGTTAGTACAACTTGCTTGCATACACTGTTTTATACACCACTTTCTTTACTCTTCCGCTTGAACAATCAAATCTCTCTATCAGATTGATGTACTTCTTTAGGTACATATAAACTCAAGACTTTTAGTGATGATTTTTTAACTTTGTAAGAGCATTAATACAATGAAATTTAAATTTAAATTAATTTGTTCAACTATGGAATAAAGTTAAACAACATTTAATTAAATTAACTAATCAACTTATTCACTTTCAAAGATGATACATAATTATCTAATATTAATTTTGGTACTTATCCAATAATCATACAAACCTGAAGTAAGTGATTTTCTAAGCACATAATGCAATTCGTCAAGTCAATTATATCAGTTTTTGTAGTAGTTCTATCTCCAATGTCAAGACACTCTAAGAGTCTATCGATGATCGGATAACATATTCGTAAATCTTTCTTCAGTCTTTCTATACTTCGAGGTTTCTCGATGTCTTTGAGACCAACTAATAGGATCATCGCATTGAATACTGCATTTAAAAATTTATTAAGCACTTGCTTTGTAACACTACTAGCAACTACTATTAATGTAATACAGTCCTTAAACTCTTTCCAAACAACTGTTGTATCTGGCATATCAGTATTAATGAGTTCAATGTTATGAGTTTTCAAAAACATGTGTACGCCATTTAATGAAGCCATTTTTGAAAAAGTCATCTAGAACAACAATAGTAAACAACTGTTAGTAAAAATGTCACACCGCACAGACTCAGTTATAATCATAAGAGCATATATTTTTTTTCAAGTATTCAACAATAACGTATTTCTCACTTATTGAATCAATCTTATAGAATATTAATAAAATTTTTTGTCCACCTATGTTATAGTAATTACCAATTCTCCGTCTCCTTTTTTTCGTACAAACAACGGAATTCCGCCAGATGAGGTTACGCACATGATGTGAGCGGTCATGGTAGTAATAAAAATGATTTTTTTTTTATGCTATAACCAAAATTTATTTATGCAGATTATAATTATATTTGTATAAAAAATACAGAATACTAAAAATATTACTAATCATAAATATTATCATGTGAAGTGAAAATTATTAAGTATCAAACGAAATCGAGAAAGACATTTTTTTTTGTATTAAACTCATTATTAAATCATTGTATTGTAAAAAATTTAAATCACAAATGACAATATTAAACGCTTGAATTTTATTTTACAAAAAGTATTATTAAGAAATCACAGAAATTTTAAGTTAAACTTTGAGTCAATTAAACTTATTGGAGGAATTCATAAAATATTCACTACAATGCCTCAACAGCCGTTCACCAGGGGGAAAAGAATACTGTTATGCTTTACCAACAAGAGCAGGTGAGTAGGACTACACAGAGAATTTTTCAACTGAAGAGCAACGTTGCCATTTCTCTTAATATACTGACCGAGCGATAGTAATGTCTTTGTGATTTCTCGTAGTTTAAAAATAAAAAACCATTTTATGTATATATAAACTGTAGGCTATGTATTTTTTAAATATTTAACACTACAAAGATCCTGTGCACAATAAGTAGTACTTATTATTTGTACGTAGAACTAGTTAAAAAATAACGTTGTAACAAAACTCTTTTTCACGTTTTAAACAAAACTAGTTTTGATTTATTTTAATTATTGGAATGCACATTTTTACATTACGTAAATTTTTCAAACCTTATTACAAAACGAGTAATTGAACTCCTAATTATAAGATTTGCTTAAAGAGATTGCTCAAAGTCCGTTGGAAAAAATAAAGTGCCTGAGCAAAGCATGAACTTCTTGTCTGATAAGTCCAAGAAAAAAAAAAAAAAAAAAAAAAGAAAAACGGTCAGCGTTAGGTATTAGTTAGAAGTTCATAAAGTTTTGTAAGAGTTAAAACTAACTAGTTTTAAGAAATTTCTCGTACGCTTCTAACTTCATACCCTAATCATTAATCAAACATATAAACTACAAAGTAAAGCATTTCCAAAAATTGTTTATGTCTATGTATATATATAAAAACTGTGAGCCTCAAAATGTTTTCAAAGTAACTAAAAATCAAATTAAAAACTACCCAAATGAGTTAGGACTTACTTCATTAGATGTTAAAAGATATTAAGCGTCGAAAATTACAGTCCAAATGAAACTCAAAATCAAATAAATTTTTTTAGAAATTGTTGAATTATTACTTTGTTCCCGAATGTCTAATACTCATAACTTTTAACGCTGAATATTTTTTAAGATGACAAAAATATACTTTTTTCAGTTACGTCGTTGTTTAAAAGGCTCTACGCGATTAAAAAAAAAAAAGTTTTAATGAAAGTAGAAAAACAAAAAATAAATGTTTTTTAAAATTTCGTTAAAGTATACAAGGTGTCTGTACTAGGAGCTTTATTTTTTTTGATTTTCGAGCACCATAATGTACCTTTTTGTCGTATTCTTTCAAATATTATTTTATGTTAACACATTTATACTTGGAGCTATAGAGACATGTACTTTTACCCTTTGATGGTAACTTTTTCATACATTAATTCGTATCATCATGGCGGAAGTCACAAAAGTGACTTACCTTGGCACACAAATTTACCGTAAGAGTTTTTTCTTGCGGTAAATATTAGTCATCGTCAAGAAAATTATAAAATAGAGAAAAATTATTGGTGCATTATTATAATAATATAAATTAATTTACGAACATTACAGATACACTTTATAAGATTACAACTTCCTATTTATACAAACTTAAGTCAGCGTAGGCTTAACATTAGCTCATCACTTTATTATGGATTACTGTGGAAATTCAAAGCTTGTTACGCTTATTATTTAACGTGTGATAAGAATAAGTATTCATACTTATTTGAAGAAGAGGTTTATTATTATTATTATTTTTTGAATATTGGAAGGTAGAACAGAGAATAAAACTTATCATATACTGCAGGTGCGAAATTATTTCTTCTTTAACGACCGAGTAAGTTTAATAGCAAGAAACATTGTTAACATATTGTCATTTGGAAGATACAAAGAATCGAAAATTATACTAGAAAGAGGTTCCCCAGGCTTATTTCTCATTTAAACATTTTACGTATTGTGGACAACGCTTTGAAACAAAATGTTTTATTACTGGCTTTTCTGTAGTAAAACTGTTGAAGAGAAGACTAATCAAAGTGGTGACAGACATTTTATGATCTCATCTAGACATGCTGCAAATATAACTAAAATATCTCTGACTTCTATGAAATTGTGTATATAAGCATATACCTAGGTACAACCTGTACAAAACGGCTGAGCATAAGGAGAGAAAGAGAGACAGAAAAAGAGGAGCACTATATAATATATATATATACCTGTAAACGTCCTGTCCGCGCGGTCGCGCACTGCTCTTTCCCCTTCACCTGTCTGCCGTTTTCGTTCGTCTGCTCTTGCGGAGAAACTAAGCGAGCTATCTCACTATAGCCGAGGTTTGCTTTTAGTATGGCTTCGCCATTCGGCGCGTAATCAATGTCTTTTCGTCATAGTTGCGCGAGCAGTCGACTATAACGCACCTCCCTAATTTTCCACCCTGTTTATACATACGTGTTTATACACACAACATCAAATACTGTACGATCACTGGGCTTCACGCCAAGTCCTGCGTTTGAGAACTTGACCAGCTCAATTTAAGTAATGTACGATAATCTATATAGGTAATGACTATCTTTGTTGTTAGCTTGTTGACAATGCTCCTGTCAGCCGTGCAACATGAACCTTTGATGATTTGGGGGGTTAAGCGGTAGTTTTAATTTTAAATATTAATGTGAGAGGTTCTCTTGGGTGAGCACTTTATAGTGTAGTTATCTTATATACAGTAGATAAGTTCATACTGCCTCTCAAAGAGGTTATAAAAGTGCCGGGTTGTGTTGTGCTACGGAAGAGCAGACGACGAATAAGATATCGTGTAGCCAGTGTTGATATTGGCACGAAGAGTCTGTCAAACGTCAACAACAGCGATGCGGCGTAACGTGAAAATCGTGCTTCTGATCTCATGCGTTTGGATGTGTGGTTTTGTATACTACTACCACACAACAAGGGATAATAAGGTAAGAACTTCGTGGATTGAAGATATATGTTAAAGCTTTGAGAGAGCTATCGAAATGTGTTGAAATTAAAAATGATAAGGGCTTATTTTATCACCAAGTTATTGGCATTCCGAAGAGTAGATTTCAAACTGAGTGGACCCTCGTAGGTAGACATGTAAGCAAATGTAAGCTAATCGTCTTGTGGCTCGTATGCTAAATGTATTTAAGACAAGTAAGTATAGTTTTGTCAGATGGTATTTTTATGAGGCGTTATCTATTTTATAAAATTACTTTAGAAGTCTGTTATATTAAAAAACATGACTATAACTTGGTATGGTCCCTAGTAAAAAATCTGTGCTTTAGTATTACATATATTATGGTAGCAAAATTTGTATTTCCGAAAGTTTGTAACATTAGGAGGCTTTTCTCCCTTCGCTTTTTTAGCGCCAACCCCCGAAATTTCATTAAATCCTAATATTTTTTATAATTTTTCAAAAAATTGATCCAAAAAATTATTTTTTTAACAAATACTTTTATCTCTATGTAAGTATGTAATGTAGTTTACTCAAAAACTTGTTGCTTTTTCATAGAGGAAGTTTTGAATCAGTAAAAAATAAAGTTTTTGTAAAAATGTATAAGAAATGTTTTTTATAGTGTTTAAAGTGAAAATCACCATTTTTTGAAAAAGTCTCTCTCTCTCTCTCTCGGTGTGTGTGTGTGTGTGTGTGTGTGTGTGTGTGTGTGTATGTATGTTCATAATCTGTCATGTCTCAAGAACCAGCTCGCAAAAAATCTAAGATTTATACCTTAGTAAGGGAGTTATAACGATTTTTTATGGTCAAAAACTATGGTTATTACCTTTTATAAGGGTAAAGAATTTATAATGTGAAGCTTACAACAATCCTATTTAGTGGTTAATACAAATACCTTTATTTTACATTTTTGAGGGTTTTGGTAAGATATTTTGATTAGTTGTTATTTAGAAGATAATAAAATATTCGGGAAAAAAAATGTATGTCTCTAAAACGAATTATCTTATTCTAGAAATTAAGGGCTATACAAATCATTGTTTTTTCTATATTCTTTTAGTTTTGATTTTTCCGCTTTAAAAACTACATGATTTTTCTGAACAAATCATATCACAAAATTAAAAGGCTTTAGCCGTGAGAAATCCTTTTTTATAAGAATTAAAATGTCAAAACAGTGTTGCTTTTACTTAGAGGCCATAAAATAGGAGATTTTAAGATAGAAATTAAGGGTTTTAAGGCAATGATCAATCAAATGTAAACCAGTAACTAGTAGCAAATGCTATAGAGGCATCGCTTTAAGGCTATGAAACTTTTATGATAGAAATATTGTTACTTGAATAGCTTATACTCATGCTATTTGTTTAGTATTTTTTCTCTTGAAAAAAGGTCTTCGCGGTATTTTACGTCAACTAGTGGTAATTAGAGGCTAAAAATTTATTTCAACTTTCTACCAGCATGACTTCTTATATTTTTTATTTCTAACAAGCTGCAGTAGATAGGAAATACAATATTTGTATTTCCGAAAGCTGCAGTAGAATGTATTCCTATAAAAATGTACCTTTTAACAAAAATAAAAAGTCAAATAAGTTTTAATATGATTATTTACATTGCTTTGAAAATTCCTGCAATATTTACACAGTTAAAATAAATTGTCAATCTTTTAAATAAATGGCCAGTGTTGCAAAATTGTGATATCGAAAGTTATGATAAGTCAATTTTTTTGTTTAGCAACACACTTATTGTACAATACTCGCAGTACTCGCACATGAACAAAAGTAAACTGAGTAATTTTTATTTAAACTGGTACCATGTGTAAGCCTAGCATTAAAATGATTATTTATTAGAATGCTCCATAAGCGATTTTGAGTACTCA